GTTTATATGTGACCTGATGTTTTCTCACTGAACCTATATATCATCCTTTTCTTTCTTGAATATTCTGAATTTCTCAATGGTGTACACTGCTGTGAATTTGTTTTCGTACACTGAAAATTCAGTGGGATTCTTTGAATCTGAAAATGGACTGCCTTCATGTTGAGGAATGAAAACATTATTTCATTGATAATCTCCCTCCACCCTTTTTGTTCTTTCCTTCTGGAATTCCAACAATTCATGCATAATCTACCTGGGTGGGGTCCCTAGTGTCTAATTTTCTTAAATTCTCTCACATCCCTTTCTCTTTGCCTTTCCCCCCTTGCTTTCCTTTGTGGAATAGTTCTCTAACTTTTGTATCTACTATTGACTGTTTTCATTTTTTTCCCCCCTACATGTTCCTCCCTCACTGTTCTTTTTATAGTTTTTTTTGTTTGTTTGTTTTCCTTTACGTCTTGGAGGATTTCTGCAGAAAGTTTTGACTTTACATGTTCTTCTCTTTGTAAGCTGTTTCCTCCAAGTTGTTTTGGAGAAATTTCTTATTTTCTACCACATATGGCAGAAGTTTCTTCAGTTATCTTTTCTCTTCTTGTTTCACAAGGTTTTGAATTGAGTAGAACCTCTGAGGACAAGTATAAGCATGTCATCCTTTCTCTTCCCACTAAAGTACTTGAGATAGTTTATGTGAAAAACCTCTCACAATTGTGGATTTTTTCCCCCTCTTGAGATGTTCAGATTGCCTGGAGAGGAGTCTCAGTTTCTTCCACAAGAGGTTAGGTTCCTGAGCAGCTATTTGGAAGATGAGAACAGATTGGGAATCCAAACAGCTACTCGATTTTTTGGGGTGCACATTCAAATATGCATAGAATCTCCTCTTATCTTCCCAGAGATTAAACCAAACTTTCTTGGTTCACAGGGCTCTGAGTGTTTCAATAATTATTTTATGGTGCTTCTAAGTCAAAAGATATTCCTAACAACTTCGTTTATTAAGCAGTCATTGCCAAAGAACTTAAAAAGCATTCAGATCTTGACAAGTTAGTTCCTGTTTGAAAAAGTATACATCTATATGGAAAGTTTTTTTTTCCTTAATAACCACAATTACTCACTAACAGATGTGTGCATCTGGGGAGTGGGGTGGTACTGCATGATGATTGGGATCAGATTGGACACACCCGGTCTCATTTCATGTTTCACATTGATTTTCATGTGGTGCTTACTTTTATCACACATTTATCAAAAATTCAATCTCACAAATACAGGATGTCATAGAAAAGAATGTAAAGTGCTCAAATGTTGAGGACTTGAACTATTTAAAGTTAGTGGCTTTCGTGAATCTATCAAATACTGTTTATCATGGTTTGCATCAAAACTTTCAAACATATTATAAGATTTCTGTCAGTCTGATGTGGTGCCCGACAGTGCTCTGTCACACAGTCTGAGAACTATGGGTTCAATAAAATCCATTTTGTGTAGCTCAGTTTTTAACTATTTGTAAGAATCTCAGCAGTCTCACTACTGCCCCATTGCATTACATTCACCTGCACATCAACAAACTAAAATTGACTTTAGTTGGTGTAACCACAGATTCAAAGCACAACACTATGTAGAAGATCTAGGTTGACAGGTGGTATCGGTGAACATATTCATAGTCAAAGCTGGAGACACCACACTTTTCTATGCATAGTTCCCCAATTAGTAAGCCCCTTTTATTGTATTTTTAATTTTGCATGCCATCACACAATGCTGTAGATGTAATTCAATACAGTGTGTGGCTGTTTCCAGACAGCTGACTAAAGACCTGAGCATTAACAGCTGCCAGAATGAGTCTTCTGTGCTCTCTACCCCCACCCCAGACTACTCTTTGAAGGATTTAATCAGAGGAAAGTCTGAATGTCAAAGAAGGCCAGAGCAGGTAATATGACAAACGGATGTTGGTCTTAAGTAAGCTGACTAGCTATTAATTCACAAAACAGTCTGAAAAGATTTGTGATGCAAGCTGACTTCTGTCTAGACAGAGGAGGGAGTGTAAAACACATTAGACAAATACAACACGGTAGTGACAAGAAAAACCTGTTTCAATTTCACAAATGTCTTGTAGGGAATCGGCTCTTTCCTTTTTTATCTAAATATCTGATTCTTAATAGGGTTGTATCAAGGTACTAGTGATTTCAATTTTATTTCTAGAGTTTTAAGACATCTTACATATGAGTAAGAAAAGGGGGAAGCATGAAGACAGAAAAGAGATAAAAAAAAAGTTGAGGGAGGGAAACAAGAAAGGTCAAGGAAGGGAAGAAGGGAGAGAGTGGTCCGGTTAACCCTCAATGAAAGAGCAAGAGTAAATGTGTCAAAGAAAGAGAAGAGACTAGGAAGAAAGGGTAATAATGTCTGAGTGCATCAATGCTTTCCTGTATTTCAAAGGCTATTTATATTTTAGCATTTGGAAAGCATCACTGACCTAATCCCATAAAATTTATCTTTTGCCTCAGATATGCTGTAGTTATGTCCGTTTTTCTCCTTTCCATCTACCAATGGCACTAAAAGTTATTAGGAAAGATGGTTCCCACATTCATTATATAGTTATTATATAGTTGAATAGTCTGTTTTTAGAGAAAATAGTTGATCAGGTTATTTAAATAAAGTAAGCAGGTCAATGTATATGTTGTTTTTTTCCCTTGACAATGTCAGCGGTCAACTTCAAGGTCAGTGTAGGGAGGACACTTGGCAACTAGGAAAAGAATCATATCATATCTTGTTATGTCAGGCATGCCAAAACATTGTTTAAATACAAACATGCTTTAGCATTTGTTCTGAAGTTTTTACTCATAACAACTCATGCAGTCATTTGAATAGATAGTCATGTGTTTAAAATTTTTTGCTTAAAAAAATATAATCTTGGATTTTCTTTAATGCTACATGCTGACTGTAGATTTCCCGAGGCAGAGCACTGTAAGGCTCCACTATAAGGAACGAGGAGCAATCCTAGTGGTATCATAAGAAATAGAATTGTGGGGAAATTATCAGTCTGGAAAACTAGGGTTTTTTTTTTTTTTAATGTTTAATAGCTTCTTACACTATGTTTTTAAATTTTTCCTCCAGGTATTAACAGATTTGTTTGAAATAGTTTCTGCCAAGGACCATTTGTTTTCACCAAACACCATTATTACAGTAGGACTGCAATAGTCTGTTCTCTTTAAGTGTTTCAGCACTAACAAAAGGGCAAATAAGAGTAGGAACATTCCTTGAACATGGACAGGACAAACTTTTTACTACATTTCTAATTTACATATCTTTCAAAGCAGGCAATTCATATCTTACTTTCTTCATTTTGCCAAAAGGCATTTAAATAAGTTCTTTGAGTACAGATAATTCCTTTTATATTCTATCTGTCCATCTGTTTGTCTGGTGTTTCATGGCAACACACATCCAAAGAAGTGTGTATCTATAGCCCTGAATCATTTCATGCTGTAAACCAATGTTACCTCATTAAAAAAAAAAACACAATAAAGTCCCTCCCTGGTGGCGCAGCGGGTTAAAGCACAGCACTGAGAGGCTAAAGCCACTTCCGCATGAGTTCGATTCCTGCCTGCCCCGGAGGTGACCACATGGCGTGGCAGACCTCTCCTGACCCGCCCGCTGCTCTCCTCAGCAGTGTACTTCGTAGATCTGGCTGTTCTGCTCCCCACTCTGTCACTGGTGAAGCCTCTCGCCACCCCTGAGCCTCTGACCTGTACCCCAGTTCTGTATGCACAAATAAATAAATCTTTAAAAAAAAACAGTAAATACAAAAGATGTGACCTAGCTTCCTCTATGATTTCCATTTTAGCTCAGGCAATAATTTGAGTCTCAGAAATTTCACATATCCACGGATCAGGGCACCATCATTATGCAATTTTACATAAAGACACATCACATATAAAACAAGAAGCTGTGTATTTCCATGTTTGGAAAGGTCTACAGTATTTGATGTGATGACTGACACACTAAGTGACACGACACGCTCTAGTTGTAACTCATGACAAGAAGGCAGTAGATCAATTCCAGTTGTTCCCCAAGGGCTGTACTCGGCATCCCTTGCTCTTTGTATTCCCTGCTTTTAAGAATCTGGCTTTCAGCTCTGAGAGGTTCAGTATTGCCGGCAGTAATCTGACCTGACCTGTGGCAACCCCCCCAGAGAATCTCCCAGTTCCCAGTGAAGGGGCAGAGCAAGGTCACAATTCCTAAGGGACAGTGGCAAAACGCCAAAGCAGAGGCTGAAGACTGGCAAGAAGTGAACCTGGTGGTTTGGTGATGGGAAAAAAACAGAAGTAAGGCATGCTGAGGAGGAGGTTCTAAGAAATCCCTAGACAAAAGGTTTTGTTTCTTTTACAAACATTACTGGAGTCCTTGGGGAGTCGTAAACATCCAAGAAGCCTCAGGTGGGAGAAGAGAAGATTCTGGACCCGAAGCTACCAGCTAACATGGCACTCTGGGTGAGGTCAGAAGAGCCAGCAATTAAGACAGATCCCATAGCAAGAAGACTCTCTTCATGCTTGTAGACCAGTAAAAATTTATAGCTTAAGGCACATAAATGAGGAAAGTCTGAGGGTCTATTTTGTTCTCCTCTCTGCTGCTTTCCTGTGAGACGCATTTCTAAGCTGGGGGTAGTTAGTTTGTGGGTTTTGGTCAGTAGAAATATGCAACAGATTGCTCTTTTCATTGGAATTTTAGGAGGATGTTTTTTCATCGTTAGTTTGCTTTCTGAGTATAAAAGACTATATTTACAAAAGCCTTAAGTCACTGAGCTTACTTTCTGGTCTGAATAGAACTTCATGTTTTACTAATAAAGAAGTTGATGTAAAATGCAGTGTACCGACCTCAGGATGAAGAAGATACGGTCTGAAAGGGGGTTTCACATTTCCAGAGAACTGCAAAAACATTGTTCTGCTTATGGCTTTAAAACAGAAACAAAGAACTATTGAAACCCCAAAGATACAAAGCTAAAGAAAAAGGAAAAAGCTTCTTACCAGGTTCAGCTGTAGATCTAGGTTCTGTTTGCCACATGAAGGGAAAAAAGAAAGAAAACCAAAATTGTATTAGAATGGAGCTTTCTTCACAACAAACCTGTCTTTCTTAGTACCTAGTTAGGATGTATCTGCAGAAATGCTATCAACTCCCTAACACAAAGGACATTAAATGATAGTAGGTCAACTTATAGTTCTATAAACACAGAAACTCAAATTTCAGGTACAGCTTACACTAGGAAGTTTTTAAAATAGCAGTTCATAAAGGGCTCATAGGAAGCTTGTGAACTCCCTAAACCCGTTACCTAACTTTGAGTCCCAATGTATGCGTGCATTTTTCTGAAGAATCTATAACTCATCAGTTTCGAGTCCACATGTGAATGAGCGTTGCAGCTTTGATTGACTGAACCCTGCACATGTGTTGGCTGTCACAGTTGTCAGCCTGCAAGCAGAAACCACTTCATTGGGTGACTAAACCCTTCTTGGCTTTCTTGATGTCAAAGGGGGGAAATGGTCCTATCTGCGAGAATGGGCACCTGTTCTTACTTTTCTGTAGAATTCTGAAGTCCGGAGAGTCCTGTATTTCACTCCCTTGTCGGAACCACTGGACCTGCAAAGGGGGTGCTCCTCGGATGCGGCACTCCAGAACCACCACCTGGCCCTCAGACGCTGCTATGTTTTGCAGTTCCTGAAATTCAGGGAAAATGCTCCGTATTAGCCTTTGGTATCTTTTCACACAATTTCACAATAGGGAATGAGCTCTCCAGACCTTTGAGGACAAAATGCAACACTTGTATCATGAAACTATTACCACTAACTCAGGTAGGAGTAAAGTCTTCTAAATCCTCTGGTCATCAGCTTTCCATTCTCCTGTCATGGAATGTGTGAAGCTTACCATAAATCATGTAGAAATCTTTAGCCTGCCTGAAAATGTATTGACTCTCTCCTATTTATGGAATTTTATAGAAACAACTGTTTGCCTTTAAGAATAAACTCGTGGCATGAAAGCTTTCTTTAAACAGTTACACTCCTAACGAATGTTTATGAATAGCAGACTAGGAGACGAAAAAGACAGACATTTGCTTCCACATGCCCCAGCCTTCATGGACTCCCTCACCACCTCTGCCCAGCCAGCTTCCTATGTCAGGTTTATTAAGATAAGGGGTTTTGGTATTTTCTCATTTTGAGGTTCTGAGTAAATTAAAAAAACAGGAAGCATTTCTCTGGTCTTGACCTTCACTTCCTCCTCCCTTGCTGCTGCCTTTGTCACCACCCCCCACACACATACACACATTCCAAATCCAGACCAATACATTTTTAAAATCCAACAGATTAGTTTGGCTTCTTAGATGCAAAGCAGTAAAACTTTTATACTTATTAAATATCAAAAGGTAGAGAGTTTCCTTAATGTGTCCGCTTCACACCTCTGTCCTCTAGGATTACTTAGCCTTGGTGCCTATGTGAACTGTCTAAACTGCCTTCTATAGAGTAGGATCTGATATAGGGCATGGAGAACTCTTAAATTAATTCAAATATGGTTATGTAACTTGCCTACATGTGAGGTGAAAGTAAACAAATTCACGTTAGGAAGTGTGTGTTTTTGATTTTCAGATTATCTAAAGACACAACGAATAGTGTACTGGGAAAAACAATTCTTGTAGTGAGTGGACTTCAGAGAGTATGGAAATTCCGAAAGTCCATGTCAGCAGAACAACCATACACATGGAAAGTCTGAGAAGATATTTCGTAAGAATTCTTTTACTTTATTAAAGTAACACTGCATTCTAACATTGTAGCTTCAGGTGTTGATTTTCACCACTGAAAATCAACATGTGTGTACAGACCATTGGGTTTTCACACGTTAAAGTCTAATTCAATACTTCACCTTAACATTATCCCCTTCGTCCTGACTCACCCACCCTCACCCCCTTTCTCTGCTAGTAACCACTAGTAATTGATCTTCTAATCTAAAATGTTTATTTTTGTTTTATTTAGTTTCTTTGTTTTCTTTATGTACCATGAGTAAAATCATACAGTGTTTCATTGGATTAAGAAGATGTGGCATACACAATAGGATACTTTTCAAAAAAAAAAAAAAAAAGGCTGCTTGACAGGTGCACAGGTTAAAGCTTCAACATATCAAACAAGCCAGATGGAGAAATGGAAAAAGGTAAGAATTTTTGTGGTTTTAAAATCTTTTTTCTAAGTTAATAGATTAAGGTTATTAACTGCATTCTTTCTTCTTTATATTTAGATATAGCCAATCTTTTTTTAAGTTTTAAGGGGACTTTTTCATTTTGTGTTTGGGTCCAGAGAAGAGTTGATTTAGTGGCTCAGTGAAGGAAAGTGTCCCTGATGCTGTTCAGCTCGTGTGCATTGCATTAGTTACTAAACACCTGCAGGTTTGCCAAGGGAGCAAATCATAGTAGATCATAAACGACATCCAAATGTTTTTCATGTTTGACCTTTCAGGCACTGAAGAAGACTGATTTATTCCTAGGATTATGTGGTTTTGTTCAAACTTTGGGAAGTCGAGAGATATAAGAAATAAACCTTAAACAGCCAAGAAACAAAACAAAATAAAACAAACAAACAAAAAAACCCAAAGCCAAACAAGTTCATAGTTGTTCTAGGACTATAATTTGGCCTCTCTTGGTCTCTTGGTGCAATTATTTCCCTCTTGACAAAAGCCACAGCTAACACAGTTAGTTAAAAGGAGAACCAGCAGAAGATAACCAGGAGTTGTGAAAGAGATTTCAAGCCAACATTTAGAGGTTATCTTTGCCAATCTGGATCATAAACTCCAAGCAGGATTTTGGACTCTTGAGTGTTTCATGGTCTTTTGTCATGTACCAATCCATTTGATATTCCTTGAAGGGGTATAAGGAACCTAGGTGTTTGCAGAAATGCCTAGGTGGGGTTGTCCTCTTGTGTGTTCCTCCTTGTCACATCCCAGAATCCATACCAGCTCTGCTATCCTAGCTAAACCCCCTGGTCTGAAGCAGGAGCACTGACTTGCTTGTGACCAGTAATGAAACCTGGACTCTTCCAGAATAACATGCAAAAGCAGGTGGAGATGCCCTCAGACTGGCAAAGCCCTTCTGCCATCATCATGACATACTAATACAAAGGACAAAGGCAAATAAATGTGGACAACAAAGTCCATTCTGAGTTACAGAGAAGAACAACAGGTTGATTTTTCTAAACCTGTCCCTCTAAAACTAGAGCCCACATTCAAAAGTGACCCTACAGGCAGAAGAGAAGCTGCCTGAAAGATAGAAAGGGAAAGCAGATACAAACAAGGAAGCAAACAGCCCTGCAAATAAACACATTCTGTGTGGACACAGAAAGTAAAGGCGGCCAAGGTGGAGTGTTCTGTGCTTCAGGAAGGGCTTTTTTTGAGATTTTTTTAAACCAACCTTTTAAATATGGAACTTTCTGTTTTACTCGTTTGTATGAAGCGATGTGGTTAGAGTAAAGAATGCTTCCTGGTTTTCGCCGAGGGAAGGGGAAACCACCACTAGTAGAATGTCAATGTCTCAGGAGTAGGGTGTGTTACTTGGCTTGAAGGAATTCTCTTGGTGCCCAGGAAGAGCCTGTAAGATCTCCACGTGACAGGCCATGGTGGTGGGGAAGCCCAATCTCATGTCTTTTCCTGCCTGATGCCAGCTGCATGGACTTCATTTGCTTAAACCAAGAGGAGCATTGGGCTGACCACACCCTCCCCCCAGCAGATCAACTGTGTCTTGGCTATAACACATCAGGTGACACAGATTTTCTGGAAACAACTTAGCTTATGAAAAGCCTGAGACAAGGCAAATAAATGTGGACAAGCATTCAACCTCTGTGAACACTTTCTGTTCTAAGCACAATGACTGTTACGATGACATTGTTTTTGGTAGAATTTTACATGATTTTTTTTCTTGGTATTCATCTAGGAGTGGAGTTTCTACTTGTTGTCATTATCATTTATTGTCTATGTTCAGGAAAAGATCTTTAATAAAGTTGGATATAGGCTGGCTTAGAAGAGAAAACCATCACTCCCTACTCAAGAACAATCAAGATACCCTTCTCTCCTGGTCCCATAGAAGTTTCATGGATTTGCTTTTACACATTTGTCTTTAAAGGTTTACTTGATTTTTGTGAAAAGTGTGCAGGCAGGGGTTTAACATTTTTTCACTAAAGTGTTCCTACAGGTTCTATTGTGATTAATAATCATTTTGTCCAGTTTTATATCAGCACCAAACTATTCTAAACATGAGAGTGCTGGAAAATCTTAGTATACCAGAGAATAAATCCCACAATGGACCTGTTTTCCTAATACCACCTTATTTTTCTTCTACATGAGAGGTCTGGCTTGGCAAAATTTCCTTTCATAGGACTTTCAGAATCAAATTATCAAGTTCTATGACAAACAACAACAACAACAAAAAGGAACCTGTAAAAGTTTTAGGTAGATTTACATTGCATTTATACATAAATATGGATAAGTATGGGAGTTGTGACTTATTTATAATCTTCCAGTCCACAGGCACAGCCTATCTCTCCACTTCGTTGGTCTTTTGAAATGTTTTTCAATAAAGTTTTATACTTTTTTTAAAAGATGAAGAAGGAGGGCCCTCTCTGGTGGCGCAGCGGTTTAAAGCACAGCACTGAGAATCTAAAGCCGCTTCTGTATGAGTTCGATTCCCGCCTGCCCCAGAGGTGATCCACATGGCGTAGCAGACCTCTCCTGACCTGCCCACTGCTCCCCTCAGCAGTGTACTTCATCATCGATCTGCCTGTTCTGTTCCCCACTGTCTCTGGTGAAGCCTCTCACCGCCCCTGCACCTCTGGCCTGTACCCCAGTTCTGTATGCACAAATAAATAAATCTTTTTTAAAAAAAAAAAAAAAGGTGGAGAAGGAAAAGAAATGCTACAGGGATGGAACCTTTTTGGAATTGACTGATGAAATGGTATGTCATTCAGCCTTGGGAATGCAAATCACCAACTGAGGAGGACATCAAAGTTTGTCCTTTAAAAGAAATTCTAGAAAACATACTAGTTCTCTCAAATAACTTTCTGCACAGGATTCTGTCTTATTTTTGCTCCTTGTCTTGGCTTTCCCACTATTTGAAGTTGTCGGGTGACTGACCACATCCAAATCGTCAGCCCTTTTACAAGAATATAGTCACCAGCAGCTGCTCCATAAACATCTATTTAGCCCCCAAAGTAGCCACGATAAACCCATAGATCTGCTTACTTTAATTTTTAAAGACTGTTATACGAAACCCCATTTGAAAGAAATTTAAGGACCGTGAAATACAGAAAATGAGACTTGCAGATGTCAGACCTTTGTGAAGACAGGAGGAAAGAAGGCAGAAGGGTTTCCATCAGGCCTGCACAGATACGACGTTGGACTGTGAACCTGAAAAGGTAGAGACACATGGATCAAATTCTAAATATATAAATTGCTGAAGAGATGAACTAAAGAAACCTTCATTATGGAGATGGCTCCCCATGAATGGAATGAGTGAATGGACATGTCGCCATACATCATCCTGCTAGCCTGCCCTTACAATACAGACATTGTTCCACTTCCTCATTTCACATCTGTTCCTTTTCTCTATTCATGAGGATATTCAAGGTAAAAGTTCTCTGGTTCCTCAGGGATCCATGAGCTTTTGAATGCTATTACCAAATGGGCTTCTGTGTGTGGGACTTCCACAGGGGTGTTTTAAGAGTTCTCACAGACGTTGTCTTTTATTTTTAAATACAGCCTGGATTCATTGACTGAAAAGCACATGTTATTGCTACTTGAGGGGAAGTAAATGATCAGCTATCTATCTTGTTTTAAACTTGTACTGTTTAGATAGAAATTACAAGAAATAAAGAAAAAAAATGAATATATTGGTTTCTCCCCTACCCCCCCCCCCCCAAAAACCCCCAAAGTTATTGAAACTCATTGAATGGTACTTCCCTCTGAGGAGATAAAAAGGACTCCAGAGTAGCAAATGAAAACCATGTGTAATTATTTCTGTTCAAATACTATAGACTTTCTTTACTTCTAAACACATAATCAGTAGGACATAACCCAGGATCATAGGGTTGTGATAGCTGATGTCCAACTACTCCCCAGGACAGCCCGTGTGCTGACAGAGCTGTAAAGATGTGAGGGCAGTAATGGGCTTTAGTCATCATCCTGTGAGACTTCTCACTGACTTGTGACCCAGGACAACTGGGTCTCACTTTTCACGGTCTTTTTATGTGCAAAAACATCTATTTACTCTGTGCCAGACTCTACTGTTCCAGAATCATATCAACAGTAATTCACTGAGTATTCATGCCAATCTTGTGAATTAACTGATATTGCTAGCTTCACTTCACAGGGTGAGAGATTAGATACAGAGAAGTTTCCTCACATGCTTAAGGTTTTCTTTCTAAGTAAACAGCACAGCAGGGTAGTCTGGACTCCCAGGCATTAACCTTTATTCCAGGAAGATAAAGCAATGGGATTTCTCTCAACACTGCACTTTCCCAACTATGACGGTGGGATATATTACTACCCATTCAGTGTTCCTAGAGAATTTAAACCACTCTAACACCTGCTGTTGACTTGATTATTCACATTTTTAGAAATATTTGGTTTTCTGCTCTGAGGCTTCTATTACACCTATTTTCTCATTCTCAAGAAGTGTTTCATGTCTATATTTCCTGTACATAGTTTGTGAACTGCTGGGAAATGGAGCAGTGATATTTTTTCAGCCTTGAAATGTGAAGCACAGTGAAGAGCACTCATTAAATACTTACCACCACTTAAATATTAAACATAATACAGTGCATTAATTTAATCGGAAGTATTTCTATAAATTCCAGGAGTTTATAGGGGTCTAAGGGGAATATTTACTTTATATGCCAACTCCAAGAAACTTTTGCTAGCTGGTTAAGATTATGAACTCAAATGTCTGTTCAACACTGTTTGCATAGTGCACATATCACAGTGTATTTATCTCACACCCTGCAATTGCTAACACACCTCTGAGTACTCAGTAGACAGAGGCCAGGGAGGTTCTCATAAAGCATACTTATTAGGAATAAGTTTATATTTCAAGAGTGGGACAGGAAGCCTTCCATGAGGGTGTGTTTAGAGATACTGCTAAAGACAAAGTACTCTAGCTAGAGACATTTGGGTTTTACCATTTTTTATTTAAACCTTCATGTTTGTGTTTGCAATGTAAAATCATCATTTCTTGCCAGTATTTTGTATTGCTCTTTCCCAGATAGCTTAACAATGAAATAAAAACAAGATAAAAATGCTTCATGGAGTCAAGGACCTTGAATTATTCTTTTTTAAATTGTCGATTTAGCTCTTAGGGATGGGGAAAACTTTCCATGTGGACTTTTTTCTTCTAACTTGTTTTAAGTGAGCTAATGAATTTGGCTAAGTGGACGAAGGCACATATGCTGGGAAATAAGGTAACAGTAGTAGCTGTGCTACAACAGATATCACTTTACCAGATTACTATTAGAAAGAACAGTTACCAGTGGAAGTCTGAATACTGACTTGTTAGTGGTGACTTGGATTAAGTATTATTTTCAGTGGATTAAAAGGAAGAATTTTACCTACCATTTTCTTTTCTCCCAGTGTTGTTTTCATTTAGAAAATATTTCAGGGAAAGTACTGTTTAGCATCAAAGTTATAGTCTCTTTCTTATTTGTTGAGAAATATATCCTTTTATAATTGCGTATCTTTTTAGTCGCATGATTGTGGTTTATGACATACAATTAGGTACTCGGCATCTGTACATGCCACACATTGTCTAAACCAAAAAGTCCTTGAGTGAGTTTTGACTTCCTGTGCACTGTGAGCCAAGGAACACTCACCTGTTGAACAGGGACAGACAATGGCTGAATCACAGCTGTGGTCACACCTGTCTTTGGAGATGATGATCCTATTGTCAAGGAAACAGAAGTTGTTTTCTTTTGAGCTCTGAAAAATAGAGAAGCAAGCATTCAGATTTTTTTTTTTTAAGAAGGATTTATTCTTTGTAACATGTCCACAGAACAGTCAGTCTAGTTTGCTTTTGTGGTCTCAAATGACCTCAAATGTAAGTGCTTCTAAAAATAGCAATTCGTAATGCACAGAATTGTCAGTATCACCAGAGTGGACCTTGTAGACATCAGCAAATAACTACATCAAGAAAGGATTGTCGCATGTAACACAAATATTGCCAGAGAACTTATTATTAAGCTTGGAACTCCTAAAGAAAAAAAAAATAGCAGCTCATCCAATAATATTTCATTCAACGATGTCTCCTTCCAATGCGGATGAGAAAAAAGAAAACCCCAAATGATGTTAAAGTCCATACTATTCAACGATAGGGTTTATTCTATGTTGTTCTGCATAGAACCGCAGTTTCCAAGAACCTGTCAATGGCATTGAGGAGTTATTGTACTTGGAATAAGTCAAATCTTTAGCAGCAAGCAGCTATTTGAAATCTTTAGGGTTAGGGCTCTAGATTTAATTCAAAGTTTGGGTTGTCTATTTTAAGTCTAGCAGCTGTTTGGGAATATCTTGGATTTTTTTTCTTAGTGCATGAAACTTAGTTCAGTGTAAATAAACATAAACACTAGGTCCAGTTTTGCTAAGTAGCTAGCTGTACAATCTCAAATTGGAGGTCCTTGTCTGAAATCAGAGGTGGCAGAATATATGTTGTTTTAAAGGCCCCTCAGCATGCATAATCAGTGGGTGTTTGATGCTGAATGGACATAATTGCCCATACTAGTGGATTGAACAACTATATTAGGATATTTTCAAAGTTTGTGGACTTTTTCATAAAACTCTGGTAGATTTTATGTCTTTTTTGCAAAATAATAAAGATATTAGCATTTTACTGATACTGTATATGCCTCCATAGTAAGGACTACAATTTGTAATTTTCACAAGATTTTTATTCCAATGGAAACTTGTTTCTGGCTTGTTTAGTATTTTCTCATCATTTGTATAGACAAATTGGTCCCTATTTACAATTCAAAGTAATGATTTAACTAACTTCCTCAATGTCACTATTCTTTTGATGTATTTACAACCAGTTAGTTGTTTTGAAACTAACATTGCATAGGGCTCAATATTGGCATACCAGGGATGAAATATAGGCTTCAAAGTTCAAATTCCTAAGGTAAGGACTGTGTTCCCAGTTCAAAAGTTGGGTCTTGACTGACATCAGTTGACCTTTCCCTTCAAAGTATGAAGCTCTGGGCTCCATTCCCCACCATTTCTGCTGTTGCCCTTTGCCATGTAGAATAACTGATGAAAGTGAAGGGACTTACTGTGGCATAGCTCCAGGTTTTGATTTGAAAACTAAGCTTTCACTGTCAGAATCTGTTGAACTGGCACCTGGGAGAGTATTAAAAATAGTAAAGTTAAAACATAAGTAACATTTAAAATCATTTCAAAGAATAATATACTTCATCTTTAAAAATTAACACACAGTTTTACTTTGAAATAAAGAATGGTTGAGACCATTTTTCCTTAGACTGTTTTTGAAGAAAATCACTTACAAAAGAACTATAAAAACCCGTCTTCAAAGCAATGTGTTCTCTATGCCAGATTTATTATTAGTTTCATTTTTATCACTTTGGCCATCACAACCATACTTTTAAACAGCTTACAAGCTATAAAATAAAAATGAGTCTGTGTAAAACAGCCGTGGTTTTCATCTTTAACCCTTTTTCCCGGGGGGTAGGTGCTGTGGATTTCTGTCTTCATTACCCTTTCATTAGGAGATATTTTTCTGACTCTTTACTAAATAAGACTATGCTTCACGACTCAACGAGAGGGTCTCTGATTTGAGGTCCTGACCTCCCAAATTAATTTGCTCCATTACTATTTCTGAATTAAGAGTCATCTGAGCAGATGCTGACTCAAAGTGCAAGCTGTGATTATACTTTTAATCTCATGAGTTTTGTGATGAGAGATTTAAGGTCACAGATTTTAAAATATTTGATGGCTAGAGGTATGTCCTTGATACTCTTTTGTTGAGACATCATTTGAGTTATTTCCATGTCCATTACTTAAAAGTATTTTAAGATAAAATACGACACACTTATAGAATAACAGAATTGTATGTGAGAGCAGTAAAGATTAGTGGGTACCTTCCTACTGCCATTCTGTACAGGTTAAGGAACTGTTGTGTATCTTTCAGTTAGTTTACTGCATTAACATCATATGTTCATGTGCATATTTATACAAATGAAACCATATTATAAACCACTCTTTACAATTAGAGTTTTGGGTTTTCCTTTCAGAACAAAATATATACACACAGTTACATTCTCTTGGATAGCTGCCTATATTCCCCCTGTGCCTCTAATTTGTTTTTCCCATCTTTTGTTGATGTTGAAGCAGTCATAGTTTAGTAACTACTGGAATGTCTGCTGTCCCTTCCTGTTTATTTCCATAACTACCACCAAGGGAAGGCTTTCTTCTAGTTCCTGAGCTACCTAACAACAGATATTTATCTTGCCCTCCCTGTCTCCCACTCTCTCATTCATACTCTTTAACTTACGTCAGCTCAGTGTTTCTCTACACATCTTTACATTGTAGACCCAAAACCTAGATTATATGGCCTTTTATTTAGTAAAGTGAAAACCTAAAAACCTGTTCATTAGTGATCATCTCTCACCTGGTTTTCTAGCTGTCTGCCAGAACACCCTATACTTTCAGGTGTAACATCCCAACTCAGAGAGTTGGAATAATGTACTTACAGTATCTACTCTGTTGGGTGTGGGACTACAGTATTGAAGAAACACACACACGCTCATGTGCCCTTCTGGAGTTTCTCTTCTTTTGAGGACAGAGACTAGACATGATATATAAATGCATGTTATGGTGGTATATAAAATGGAGAAACAGTAACAGAGTAGTGTGGGAGGGACAGGAATACAATGGGATGTAGCTTTGCACAGAGGGCAAGGATACCTCCACCGAGACAGGGACTGTTAACAGAAACCCAGTACTGATGCGCGCTTTCCCTGCTTGACCTTTTCCCACGTTTGTGCCTGTAGCTGTACTTTCCTTTTGTGGGAAATGACTGCCCAACCATTTCTTGATATTCTCTCTTTTGAAACCAGCTCATCACTTATCTACACCGTGTCTTTGAATGCCAGTGTTCTTGCTTACATTACTCAGGCCACAGCATCATTATCTGCAAGAACATGATCAGTTCCCTGTGGAAAGAGGCAGGGTTAGGAAGGGAACTACCAATTTTTGAAAGTAACTACTATTTTGGCAGCCTACTTGGCTACTTGGCACTTTCGATCATTTGATTACTACAGTACTGAACCTCACTAAGAGATTATGTTCAATTACAGATAAGAATTGAGTCGCCAAGAGGCTAATTTGCATTAAGGACACATAAGCAGACAGCAGTGGCGACAGGACGTGCACGTGCGCTTTCTGAACTTTGATCTGTGACGTCGTTCCCCAGGCACGTGATCTTGACAAGTGGTACCTATCTGTACCCCACCAAGAGCTTTGCTCATGGCAGGCCTTTTAATTTCTGGTGTTGCCCACCTTCTTGGGCCTGAATGGACTGTGTGACTACAGAAGAGCAGCATGCTGGGAAGGGGCAGTCCCTGGAATACCAGCACCAGAGCATTGGACTTGATGTCTAGGCACTGAAAGGGGGTGTAGGAAAACAACCAGAACAACTTGAAAGTCAAGCTTGTTTGCTAACAGAATAATCTAATCTGAAAAAGGTGACCAGGGAGGACATTTTAACTGTAGAACAGGAAACCCAGGGAACCAGAAGACTATTAGCACAGAGTTCCAATAACCTGAGAGGTCAGTTTTAAAGGAATCACGAGTGTCAGGAGAGGCAGGCTGGCAGAAGTCCTGTGGAAGTTACCACAGGCTCCAGCTCTTAAAGCCAGAAACTGGGGTGAAAAATAGGTATTTTTTTCCATGTGATTCGCAACATTAAAAAAAAACCCTTCTGATTACCTCTCTTTAGAAAGTCATTCCTTTTTGCTACTTTTTCCCAGTTGATTTTCAGAAAAAGGTGAAGGATCACTTGAGTTAAGGACGCATTTGCTGGTTTTTGCACATATGTTCAACCCTTATGAAATCACAATGTCACCTTAGTTCTCCGGTGTCAGATCAAATCTCCCTGTCATGCCAGCAAATTCCCTTCCTCCCCCTCAGGGTGAATCTCCCTCCTTCCTCCTCCTGCCTCTTCCTTCAGGCATCTGCTTTGCACCTGCTGGTCAGAAAGAAACTCCAGTCTCAACTGGACATTTTTCTGTTTTTACCAAACTACCACTTTCAGTTTAATGAAGGCTCCCCTCAGAAAGGCACCCAGTCTGGGCCTCACAGTCACTGTCCAGTTAGTATGTAACCAGCTAAAAGCTAACCACTTCTATATATTTCTTCCCACAGGGAGTGAATGTGGCAGATAACAAGGACTTCTGCTCTGTTCTGGCGATGGAGTGTGGTATAAACAGAAAAATGAGCCTTGACTTCAAAAGGTGTTCCTGACCCATGGGCCTTGCTGGTGGCCTAGAGGTTAAGTCTCAGTGCTCTATAGTCTGAGTTCCATCCCCAACCAGGGAGCTGACCACACAGCACAGCAGACCTCTCCTGTACTTCCCACTGCTCCCCTCAGCTGTGTATTTTCGTAGATCTGCTTGTTCTGCTCCCCACTTTGTCTCTGGTGAATCTTCTCACCTCCTGCACCTCAGGCCTGTACCCCAGTTCTTCCACACAAGAATAAATATATAAATAAGGAAAGGTGATTCTGGTCCAGTTTTAAAATGTGACCAATTTAAAACTTGATTCTAGGAAAAGACCCAGAAAATGCATAATAGCAGAAAAATAAAGAAAATTCAATTGGAATACAACTACCTAGACATTTAGGAGAATATCCTTGTAAAGTTTATCTCTGTGTTTGTATAAACAATATATATATTTTTTAAATACTATGATGTTACTACACACAGTGATTATTTCCCCCCCACACACAGCGCCCACCCCCCCATATACAGTGATTTGCCTCAAGTCAATTTTCTACTATGTGCCTTGAATACATTTGTCTGGGTTTACCAGAATTTTATTATTGTGCTATTAATGGATATATTTATCGTATTTTGCAAACATTTCCCCCAAAAGGTTTATAGAACAATGACATGGTAGCCTGCCTGTTCTCCCCTCTCCTGAAAATACTATGCTATAGTTACTTTTACTTTCATCAATCTGATACATTTTTTATTTTTAAAAAATTCTGTATTTCTTAGTGGAAGCAAATATTGATATATTAACTTATAGGGTCTCGACCTCAGGAAGTATGAAGACTTTGTGAAAGCAGATTTCAACTACTTAAAAAATATGACTTTTGTGAATCTAGTTATGGAGTCCTAACAGCTGATCATCATTAGCAAAGAGGTTTTTATGTAAATTTAATTTCCCTTATTGGCATTCTAAACGCTTCAAGAAGTTTGCTACACAGTCTGCCCATGAGTCATACTCAATGCTAACTTACTCAATGCTAAAAAATATTTTGCTGTTCCTTTTTATTCTTTATACTCTGACATGTATGTGACCTAGTGTTTAAGAAAAGGAGTCCTAGAGCAAGAGTACCTAGGTTCAGGTCCTTGGGAGACTCTGAAAGAATCCTGTTAGCCTCTTTGTGCCTTCATTTGCCCATTTGTAGGAAGGGAATACTAGTAATACTTCATATACTAACAATGCATTTTAAATTATTATGTAAACATATGCATTTATTTCTCATGCTAGTATTAGTTTATTATTAGTACAGAATTTTTTTACAAAAGGACAAGGTTCTCTGAGGCACTCACAATGTTTGCTTCTAGGACAATGCAGAGTGTCCTTTTTTTTAAAAGCAAAGGTATAAACTTTTAGTCCTAAGTAACAGTTACTTCTCACACTAATCTTTTAGTTAGTTTTTAAAGTATTCGTAAATGATGGTTGACATCTGTCTTTTATTTAAATAAATTTGAAAGCATTAAATATTAAAATAAAACAGTGAAAGATGAAGATTAAGGTCATGTAGACTTCAAGGATTCTATATCTTTCTATATTTGAAGTGTTATTTTGAAAAGCAACCAATGCCTAAGGTATTCACTAGTTTATGGATTTAGGGACAACAGAAACAGTGCAGAGCCTAAAGCATTTCCAACTTAAATACTGCTATTAATCAAAATGCAGTACAATGTAAAATTCCAAACACTGATATTAAGTTTTCTAATTCTTTACAGACTGAGACTTGTCAAAAACAAATGGACACAACAATAGCAACAGCCAACTCTCTATGGACTCCTCTTTAATACAGTATTGCTTCTTGAATTTTTTTTAATGTGCTGATAGTAAGTTCATGGTACACCTTGAAGGAATAAGAGTCTTCACAAAAGAAGAAATGTTTTAGAAAGAAAAAAATGAGGACACTGAAAAATACTCAATCACCTAAAATCAGCGTGAATGATTTCTGAAATCATGTACCATTCACTTTGGTTGATAGATATGGCATTTGAATTATGTTCCCATTCTCTAGTCACTGGAGAAAGACAAAAATAAGATGAACACTTTATATTTTAAATAAATGCAATTCAATGCAGCTGAGATGTTTTAAATTAAAAGGAACAAATGTTGACATTAGACTTAGTGATTTATGTCTAAGTGTCAGAACTGCTGGATTTATTTAAAAGTTTTCAGGAAAAATGAGGTTTGACTCATAGCACCATTACGCTGTTTGCACTGGAAAAGCATGTTTCCGGGGAAGTCCCACAGGTCTCCAGCTGCCAGACCATTCATGCTCCTCGAGCGGCTGCTCTCCTTACCTTCAATGAACACCTCGGCAGACGTGGTGTCGGAGCCGCTGGGGTTTGTAGCCAGACACGAATAGCGACCTGTGTCGTCCTCGAAGGCCTCGGCGATGGTCAGGGTATGCAGGTCCCCACCCTCACAGTGGATCTGAACATCAGGCGTGTTGAACAGCTCTTTGCCCTCACAGAACCACCTGCAGGCCAAACAGAGGTCAAAGTGGCAGGTAAGAAAGAAAGGAAAGGGTGATGTTTAAAACAATGCAGCAGAGGGAGCAACTGGGTGGTATGCAGGAAGATGCTGGTTGGATAAAAACAATCTGTATTAATGTGACTAGTGTGAAATGAGGAAACTTTACGTTGTAGACCATGGAATTAATGAGTAGACAACTCCCACAGGCTTTCCTTGTAAAGCATCTCATACATGTTTAGCCACACTGAAAGGAAGGACATCAAACTCGCATAGACCATTTCAGCCACAAAGTAAAAGGAACCAAAATGCAAAGTGCCCTATAAAATATTTTCTTAATAAGTGGTTCTTACATTTATCATAACAGTCCTCTTATCTAGAGAAAAATATGAAAGTAACATGAAGATAATAGTAGAAATATCAAACATATCAAGGGAAACGAATCATCATGTTAGAAAGTCCTAGGCGGCAATATTTTTGTGACTCTAAGACTTCTGGCCAGCTGCGCAGTAAAAGATTTAACACCTTCCACATTTCGCCTATTTATAAAGCTTTCTAGCTGACTGCCTAGCCGCCAAGGTGTGGGGCGATATGGCCATGGCGTTGTAATTCACTCTTGCTGGTCAGCACTTTCCTTCCCAAACAACCAGGACCTCGGTGTGGGTGGCCACAAACTGCCAGACTGTTTGAACAGATTCTCTCTCATGCTCTTTTATTTATTTCCCCAGCACTTCAAATGCTCAACAAGATTTTCACCAATATGAAGCTGCTCCCCAAAGCCCCCAAATGTGATAGATTATTAAAGAAGTTATGTTGGGATGTGCTGCTTACAGTTAAAGGGACTCAAGTCTCTGGCCCTTATTGTCCATTTAGCTCTGAATCTTCACAGAGCGATTTTCTCTGAACCTAATCTTCATTAAAATTCTTTGCCTTTAGCATTCCTTTTGCAACAATATGGTGTTGGAGACTAATTTTTTTTTGGTGGATTTAGAGCATAGTCTAGGTATTTGACTATGTTTAATCTAAAAATAAAGTCAATAATACTGAGTACTGACTCCAGAAACTATATGAAAAAATAAACATGGAAGGCCCTCCCTGGTGGCGCAGCGGGTTAAAGCACAGCACTGAGAATCTAAAGCCACTTCCGCATGAGTTCGATTCCCGCCCGCCCCGGAGGTGACCACATGGTGTGGCAGACCTCTCCTGACCCGCCCACTGCTCCCCTCAGTAGTGTACTTCATCGATCTGCCTGTTCTGTTCCCTGCTCTGTCTCTGGTGAGGCCTCTCGCCACCCCTGAGTCTCTGGCCTGTACCCCAGTTCTGTATGCACAAATTAATAAATCTTTAAAAAAAATAAACATGGGATATTTGCTAAAGAACAGATACCATTTTGGCAATGAATAAAACATACTAAGAAAACTCAGCTTGCTGAGCACCCAATGCCACAATGCATATGGCTGTTGAGGCAAGTAAGAAGGGCTGTATTTCTTGCTTCTGATGGGAGTGAGGGGAGAGAAGGGTGCGCACATGCACAAGTGAGCAAGGAGAGTATGCACATGTGTGCATGTTTCATAAAGCCTTGGAGAACATCCTGGCCAAGGGTCATCTTCTAGTCCCTTTCCTGTGCTCTTTCTGAAGTCAGAGTCCAGATCTCCTTCCATGAGAATTGACAATGGCCTAAGTCTTTTAGCTGATCTTTTTATCATCTCTAATCAGCTATCAATTCTTCCTGTAATCTGTACTCCATTCCCACTCTTGAAACTCTTTCCTACAAACCTTGTTTCATACACTTCAGATCTATCAGTGAAGTTAGTCTTTCCTATAACGTGTCCCTGATTTTATTTTCTATCATTTTCCTAGCTAATGCTACTCTGTCAAATATTTGCATAAATTTATTGTTCCCATGTTTACTTGTCTAATTTCCTTTGCTTCCACTTGATCCTCCTTGGAATAATCTCCTTACCATCTTCAGTGATCCCATTAGGAAACCACTATTTTCTAGCGTATTATCATTTAAAAAAACTAATTATTATCTGAGCAGTGTGCTGTGTGTAAAGCTGAAGAAAAGAACCCGTGAATACAGTAAGATAATGGGAATATATGTTCAAACTGTCAGGAAGACTAAGATGACCACAGCATTTTCTAGCATAATCTAACATAAATATGCAGTCTTATGAAGTGCTTCAGCATGTCTTCAGCAACAGCATACGGGGAAATGTATGATGCTGACAAATCATTTGGCTGACCTATTTACTGCTTTTCTAAACACTCATGCTATTCACTCCAGTTCTGTGAATAGTGAATAAAATTAAGCCTTTCAGCTTTCCACACACAAGAAAGAGTACAAAGAAAAGATTAAATTTGCGCAAATCATGGGGCAAGTATAATTAAAATGAGTTGTTGGTATTGTTTTGACCCAGTCAGGGGAATACACTGTTACTGATGTGAGTACCTGTCAAGCAACCTGTTCTGTGGTTAAAATGTGTAAGATAGGGTGTGACTCAAGAGGAGGGGGAAATGACAAATATCTACATGGCAGATTCCCTGTATCAACAAAAAGGTCAGTATGGTTCCTGGCTAGTGTTTCTGTAAATCTATGGTGGAAACCATTTACACGTGGGAGCTAGAATGGTCTAGCAAAGAGGCTCACTTGTAGGACTTTAGGAAAGTCACTTAGCCTTCCTGGTTCAGGCTTCTTGTCTGTAAAGCTGAGACTTATTGGTTTTGCAGCTTCCTGACTCTAGGGTCTTTGGTAAAATGAAAGGGATGTATATGACTGATGATATTTTAAGAAAGTATGTAAATATTCTTCAAAGAAAGGAGCAAGAAAGGCTTCCCTCTGTGAAATATTCTAGGAGACACTAAGATTGCACACCCGGGCTGGGTCCTTAGATGCATCACTGAAATTAGCACCTTGTCTTTATCACTGCTAAGGGCCTTAGCTTTCCACATTCTATTGAAGTATGCTCTCTAGGTACGGTTCTAAACTACAAGAATCTTTCCAGAGAAAAGGTCTGGTCTTTTGAACTTACTCATTATGTTAATAAGCATGCAAGCATAATGTTTGGCATATGGAACATATGAATCAAGCCTTTTAAGTTTCTGTATTTTTAATACTTTGACATCTGGGTCCCCGCCCCTCTGGAACCGGCCAATTCCTTCAAGTACTCCTTTCACATGGAGCCCTCTTCCCAATCACCTCCTTCATCTTGCCATCCCACTCTGAGCCACTGTTCACCTTCCCTAGTCACCCACCCACAGCCAGGTAGCAGACTAGAGACAACACCTGTGTCAGAGTCTGCTGAAATTATCAGACCACTGATCCAGAATCTGCTTACTCTGCTGCAGGTGTTGTTCCGTCCTGTAGAAATACAATAAAGGCTCTTTCTAGCCCATATTTTCTCCTTACTATCAACTTCCTGGAAGACCCTGTCCCCTGTGTGTACCCACCCTGGGCCACCACCCCATGGTGTGACTTGCCCTCTTCTGGGAATTGTGAAAAACAACCATCTATCAAAGTGACCTCCTTCTTACCTGTTGGCCTCCCTACATCTAAATAATAAAAGTATTTTCAAAAAACGGAAGCAATCAATTAAGAATAAACTTATAAACGAAAAAATGATTGTGCAGAAGTGTTTAATCAATTATCAGTTACCACCTTCATAAAATCTATGGAGTTAATTATACACTTTCACCTACTCAAACTGAAGTGCATTTTTACAAGCATAGAAATAAACTCAAAATAATCTAGCTAATGCATACATCAGATGAGCCTTGACCAGTCTTTATGTAGCTGACCATGACAAATTACCTTATCTAACTAAAGAGGACCCCAGTGGGGGTTCCAGGTAGATGGATGAGATGTGCTATTTCATGCTTGTATTGTTAAATTTCTCAAATGTCATAATTCGATCAATTTCCTGACCAAGGGCTAAATTATTTAGTATTCTTTTAAGAAGAGGAAAAAATCAGGTCTGTTCACAACATTTTGAGCTCCTGAAGTGGTTGCTACATTCAATTCTTGTTGTAGCACGACGTAAGAAGAGCATTGCTGCTATGAGGACACGTGCAGCATACAACATAAGACCAGGTTTGGTGATGGCCTGGCACAGGGGGTGACACTGTGGTCTTCCCCCATCTGGTGGCGGACAAGACTACTGACTCACCACTCTCTGCTAGTAAAACTGTCTCAGAATCGTCAGCATGGCCATTCGGACAAGCTACAAAACAAGTGCAAGTGAAATCTACAAGGAAGCTGTAGATCATTTCAACTTGGTTTCTTTCTAGAAGACGCATTCTCCTTTTCTAGATCGAGACAGCTACATCTATTTACTCTAAGGTAAGAGGGTTCAGTGGAGAGAGCATGTGTGAAAGACTTTCATGTAGCTACTTAGGTGAAATTTCACTTGAGGACACTCCTGTATTGTTTTTCATTCCACTTTTAATACCTGGAGGCCATTTATCAATGGGATATGATACTGGGTAGTATATTAGAAATCCAACCCAATTATCTACATTTCTTTCTGCATCTCTGGTACATTTCAACTTTAATCACACTTCAAATTTTCTACCCCAAAACAACTGAAATGCATAATCACAACCTCATACTTAGGATGAAGAAATGTTAATAATTGGAAACAAGTGAGAAAGAATTCTTAAGAACTAAAATTCAACTTAAGGGAAAGGGAATTAATATTTATTGAAAGCCCATTAAATGCCATGTGTTTTGCAAATATGGCCTTGTTTTATTTCCCCACAGCCCTGTGAAGTAGCTGCCATTATATTTTTAGATACAGGCAACTCTCAGCTATATTAATGAAAAAGAAGAACTTGGACGATTAAATCCAGATTAATTTCAGAACTTCATTTTCAATAGTTTCAACTTCATCTGTAATCAATCATTTGTTATGTATGTTAATAAGTTTTAGCAAAGTTTACTGATCTTTCCCCTAGTTGCTGGTGAAGCTGCTAACAGCTCTATAATTGGAGGGAACTGAGAAGTAAACC